GAAATCTGCGTTCTGATTCGGTTCTAGTACATACCGGTTACATAACCGGGTTTTGGTACCCAACCCTAATCATAAGAAAAAAAAAGTTACTTACCCATAAATATTTCTGACTTGCTGGTCTTTCACCTCTCTTTTCTTCTGTCGACGGATCTGTTGTTTAGACTCCTTGTCAAGTTTCATGGCAAGTGCCCTCTTCAGCTGGCCTTCTTCATTGCTCAGGCTCTTCAGCTCTTTCTGCAGGGTTTCATTCATGGCTGCTAAGCTCCGGGCCTGTACAATAAACATGCATAAAGGTTGTTTTTAAGCCTTTAATACTTTTACTCAGGAGCGCATTATGCTGCTGCGTGTATCTGAGCGTCACCTCCTCTTTTTGCTGGTAGGTCTCGCACATGCTGCTCTGTAAGTCCTGCAGCTGCTTGAGGAAGACCTGGATTTCTGCCTCCAACTGATTTACACGCTGCACCAGCATCTGTGTTTCCACCAGCCTTTCGTCAAGCAGCTCCTGTCTCAGACACACAGCGAAACAGAAACAGAAATCAAACCGGATAACATCAATAACCAGTGCGAGAACAACAGGGCTTTACCAACACATGTCCATGACATTCGAGACCGTATTCATGACCTAATGATCCATTCTTTTACAAGTTTGAATAAAAATCTGTTCAAATTTAATCACAGCATGTGTTAACTGAAATAAATGACTACTAATGCCAATTGTCTGCTTTCTATTTCTTTACTAAATAAGCTGCAGCTGTGCCAGACGTGACTCGAGCAGAGATCCCATCACCACATCAGCGGATATTGTCATTTCTCTAACCAATATTATCAGCAACTGAATTTTGTTCTGGAAACCGTTTCAGTCTAACAGTAGTATTCAGATACAAAAACTAAATAAACTGTAAATTAAAAACAGATTAAAGTTATTTAAATCAAGAGCAGCGAGTGTCTTCTGTTGTCTGATTAACATTAACGCTTTATTAGGCTGCTGTCACTGATACTCATGCGCTTTCTTCCTCAACCGTTCACATTCACTTAACACAAAACCGACCGTGTTTACCAGCATATATAATGTGTTTACCAATAATGACCAGGACGGACATTCTGACATCATTTTGTGTGTAATTAAATTAAACTATGCAAACTATGCAATATATGCGCAATCACGTACCGAAATTCAGGACCTGATTAAAACATAATACTATTATACAGAGATTTGTGAAATTAATTTCTATAACTTTCCCAAAACTTATCCAGGTTAAAACTACATGACTTTCACAGGTTTTGCACGACCGCATGAACCCTGGAACAAAGATCTGTTGACTTAATGGCAGG